CTGATTTCAACATATTCATAAATAATTACAGTAAAAAAAAAAACTTACGGAAAAGGCGGTAATTAATATCATTTCTAAATTCTTCCCAGAAGAAGAAATAGACCGAACTGTTCAAAGTAACTCGAGAAAAAGGAGGAGGAGGAGAGTAAAAGCTACGAGAAAGCGAAACAAGTAACCGAATCTGGTGTAACAATGGCTGCGAATCTACCTCCATCTCTCTCCATGGGCACACCTTTCGGTGGTCCCAGCACGTCTGCCGGAGCTCCGGCGAACAAAGATCGTAACCTGGCCTCCGCGGAGCAGTTGGTTCTCGATCTCAGCAATCCCGAACTCAGAGAAAATGCCCTCCTCGAGCTTTCCAAGGTTTCTCCCTTTTATTCTCACTTTTCTTTTTTTTCTTACTTTGGTCTGATTCGAGAACTAGAACTAGGGTTTCAATGGTATTTGACTATTTCTTGTTCTGTTGTAGAAAAGAGAACTCTTTCAAGATCTGGCCCCTCTCTTGTGGAACTCTTTTGGTACCATTGCTGCCTTGTTGCAGGTATGACAAAATCAAATTCTATTTTTACTCTATGTTATAAGTGTTACTCTGATCTGATTTTTTATTTTTTTTTAATGTTTGCAGGAAATAGTGTCAATCTACTCTGTTCTTGCACCTCCAAATCTGACTCCTGCTCAGTCTAACCGTGTTTGCAATTCACTTGCCCTTCTTCAGGTCAAATGATTCTCTTCCATTTCCTTCTTTAGCATCTTTGATTTCATTTTTCTTAACAATAAGATTCCTGATTCTTTTCTTCTTGCTGTCTTACTCTGCAGTGTGTAGCATCTCATTCCGACACAAGAATGTTGTTTCTCAAGGGTATTGTTCTCCTTCTTTTAATTATACATTTAATGTTGTGTACTATTGGAGATTATCCATCATATCATTTTGTTCGTTTAATACTATTGGTTAATGAGTTCATTGTTTATACCTTGTTTGTTCTTATGCTCAGCTCACATCCCATTGTACCTTTACCCATTTCTTAATACAACCAGTAAGTCAAGACCTTTCGAGTACTTGCGCCTTACTAGCTTAGGTGTCATTGGTGCACTTGTTAAGGTAGACCATCCTATCCTTTTTACTGAAGCTGTTCCCCTTCTCTTGTGAAGTTCCCCACCGATTTTGTTTTTGCTGAAATGGAAGGACTAAAAATTAGTTGCGTCCATAATCTTGGTTTCTGAGGGAATGGTAGTTAAGTGTATGAAATAAGAAAGATGATTGGCATCCTTCTTTCACTGTGTTTACCAGGTTGATGATACAGAGGTCATTAGCTTCCTTCTTTCAACTGAAATTATTCCTCTGTGCCTTCGCACCATGGAGATGGGGAGTGAGCTCTCGAAAACTGTAAAGCCTTAAAACTTACCAATATTATTTTTGCACAGTTATATATTCATGGTGCTTTTTTCGTTCTACCTTTTCAAGATCACAAAACTCCTTTGAGATGTAAATATCTGCTGGTTTATTAGTTAACATGCTTTGATGATGTTAGGTTGCGACATTCATAGTTCAAAAGATTTTGTTGGATGATGTGGGGATGGATTACATCTGCACAACAGCAGAGCGGTTTTTCGCTGTTGGTCGAGTGTTGGGCAATATGGTTCAGTCGCTAGTGGAGCAGCCTTCTCCACGCCTTTTGAAGCATATCATTCGTTGTTACCTCCGTTTATCGGACAACCCAAGGTTTGTTGATGATATCCCCATAGGTGCTTGCTTGGCTTTTTCATGTTTGAGCTTAGTCACTTTGTGTGTTTATTAGGGCTTGTGCTGCACTTGGAAGTTGTCTCCCTGACTCGCTACGAGATGGAACTTTCAGCAACTGTCTTCGCGTAAGTCATTTGTCATATTCAAAACTTGTTAGTGTAAGAGATGCTTAGTTGAAAGTTATGGGGTGTATAACTTTTCAGGAGGATCAAATCGCTAGGAGGTGGCTGCAACAGTTGGTTCACAATGTTGGAGTTGGTCGAGTCCAAACTCATCAAGGTGGAGGATTTGAGCACATGCTTTGAGCTGAATTCATCTCAGACTATCCTTTGGAGTGTTCTTTTTATTTGTTTGGTTCTAATTTATTTTTGTGCTTTTTGATGCCTTAACTTAAATGATGAGATATAGGCTTTTAATCTGTCTGAAATTCTTATTGTAATTAGCTTATAAGCTCTAGAATGCTCTGGATAATAAAGAATTGGTTACAAATAATATTAACATGAATACTTCAGTTGATCAAATATGATTATCCAAACCATGTATAACTTGGATTGTTTTTTGTGAGAAAAATTGTTGTTCTTAGGCTAAAGTATAGTCGAAAGCAGAACATCCAAGTCTTACTACATGCCTTTGGAGACCTTGAAGAAACAACCATAACAAAAACACCAGAGCATCCATTCTGGAGCTGACTGTAGAGCAAAGAAACGTCCTGGATTAGAGTATTCATGTGACACCAGAGCATCCATTATCTCATAATGTGAACTGCGTCTTTGCTCCAAAACCTGAAAAAGCAAACAAGAGAAACGAATGTTTTGAAGATACATCCCGGATGTACGAGGTTCTAAAACAAATGACAGAAGAACAAACAACAAAAGAGGAAGAAAGAGGTATACTTGAGAAAGCGTCTGAACTTGTAATCACGTAGAAAACATTGAAAGCTAACATCAATCACTCTCTTTTTGAGTTTCCCCTGCGGCATCATCATCACTTTTGGTTTTGAGAGTATGAAACCGTCTTAAATAAATTTAGACCATGTTCAAAAAAAAATTAATGATATATTTATGATTTAATAATATTTTTTTTAAAGTTAATAAATATGTTTGATGTTTCTTTAAAACTATAAGTTCTGATTTAGTAATGGATTTAAATTTATTTTTAAAATATCATAATTTATTTATATATTTCTCAAAAATTCTTAATTTTTTCTTATTTTTTTTATTTTTATATTTGAGTCATGTTTGACCGCTCCACTTACACATGCTATTAGACGGCCCTGTATGAAACACAAAGTGAAGAACCCAGAGAAAACAATATATCTCCTCCAACACTTGAATCCCAACCATTTCAACATCGTTGATGTTTACAGCCCAACTTTTGTATTCAGGCTCATATTGTATAGTGATCGTATTACTAATACCATCACTCTTTGCAGTCTCATTTCTACTTCTCTGTTTCTTTTTAGAATATATTTGTTTAGGATTGCAAACTCAAAAAGTGCAAAAGGAAAGAAAAGCATAAAATTCAACACTTCTGTTTGGTTCGCTTCAACAAATGTGTTGGAGAATGTCATAATCTATTATATTAAAAGAGAAGTCATGACTTCTCATTCAAAATTGGCTATCTACTAGAGTTGGTCACATTATATATTTAATCATTAATAACATTCATTAGATTCACTAATAACATTTATTGGGCTTACTATAATTTTTATTGGGCTAATAAAAATTAGATGATCCATTAAATTTATAGATAATATAATAAAATACATGTTTAAATTAAGCTTATATAATTTAATATTGTAATAGTATAAGTTAATTAGTTATATATTTTTGATGTTAACTTTAAAAATTATATAGTTTATTTTAAAAATAACAAAAATATCATTTTCTAACAATAATTAATCTATACTATATAATAATTAATCATTATTTTCGATATACACACCCTATATAATATATCATTTTCGATATACACACCTTATATACTATATACCAATTTAGAAGTAAAAACAAAATGTTTATATAAAAATAAATGAAAACAAATACCCGCGTGGTTGCGTGGATTGAGATCTAGTAATTGTTATTAATAATCGTTAGCCCGAAAACTTATTAAAATATTTTCTTACACCTCCTCAGATTTATGTTTGTCCTAATCGATAATAGTTGTCGATGACGTAAGTTTTCTCTTATAATGATGTCAAAATTTCGAGGGATGTATTTTTCCACCAATTTTTAATGAGGTATGGATAATGTGTATATATATATATATTTGGTCAAAATGTGTATATATATTTTAATTTGTTTCTGGAAAAAAAAAAGAGTACGTTGACTAGAAAAGCATGTAGAGATAAAAACGTATTTAAATTTCGCAACAATTAATAATTACGTGTTAAAAACAGTTAAACTCATACCGCGTAATATAAAAAAAAAGAGAGCCAGTAAAGCAGTGCGAAGAGGTGCATTTGTGTATTATTTTCCGAAATTATTTTAAATGGTCAATAAATGATGTCTTTAAATAAATTTAAAATTAATTGTATATATACCCTGTCTCTCCATAATGTACAGAGAGAGAGAGAGACTCCACAAAGAAACGCAAGTCGCTTTCCACACACGTGATCTTTCGTAGACTTTTCTTCTTTTCCTTCATCTTCATCTCTCTCTCTCTCTCTTTTTCAGGGATGGTGATGAATTAGGGTTTAATCTTTCCTCTTTCCCTTAAACAAGAGAATAGAAAATTTATAACCCTTTTGATCATTTCTATTGGGTCTACTTGTTCATATCTCCAGGTAACTACTTTTTACTAATCCGATTATCATATTCAAGATGATAGATAGATAGATCTTCACATGGAGGGTTTTGGTAGATCCATCGGTTATGACTTATGAGTTATGAGTCTGCAGATTACTATCTATGATCAGGAAATTCTATTTTTCTAATTTCCGGTTTGATTTTTTTGTTGAATCTTTTTTTTAAATCAGTATGATTAGTTGTGATAATATTTTTCTTTTTTCTGATGTGATAATATTCTAATTTCTGCATATTTATCGTCAATTATTTCAGTTTTATTCACTAATATTATTATCTATATTTGGGGGTTTACTTGATTTATATGGAAATGGAATTCATATATTTGATTAATTGATTCTGTTCACAGTGAATTTGATACTCCTTATGGTTTTGTATTAACCGGTTCTGTTCTTATTGGTTTTGGTCTAGATTAAACCGGCTCTGTTCGTTACTCACCAATGATGTTTAACGAGATGGGAACGTTAGGCGGGAACATAGACTTCTTCTCTTCTTCCTCTCTCGGTGAACTCGACTTCTGCCCCGCCCCACATCCTGAGCCTGATTCAGTCATCGAAGAAGGAGACTACACCGACGAGGAAATCGACGTTGAGGAACTCGAGAAGAGGATGTGGAGAGACAAACTCCGTCTCAAACGTCTCAAGGAGCAAAAGGACAAAACCAAACAAGTAAATGTAGATTCCTCCAAGCAGCAGAGACAACAGTCACAAGAGAAAGCAAGGAGGAAGAAAATGTCTAGAGCACAAGACGGGATCTTAAAGTACATGTTGAAGATGATGGAAGTCTGTAAAGCTCAAGGGTTTGTCTACGGTATCATCCCTGAGAATGGTAAGCCTGTGACAGGAGCATCTGATAATCTTAGGGAGTGGTGGAAAGATAAAGTCAGGTTTGATCGTAACGGTCCTGCTGCTATAAGTAAGTACCAAGCGGAGAATAATAATAATAATAGTCTCTCTGGGGTTTATAGTAGTAATATGATTGGACAACATACTTCACATACTTTACAAGAGCTTCAGGACACGACACTTGGGTCTCTTTTGTCTGCGTTGATGCAACATTGTGATCCTCCTCAGAGAAGGTTTCCTTTGGAGAAAGGTGTTCCTCCTCCTTGGTGGCCTAACGGGAAAGAGGATTGGTGGTGTCAGCTTGGTTTGCCTAAGGATCATCAAGGTCCTGCTCCTTATAAGAAGCCTCATGATTTGAAGAAGGCGTGGAAAGTTGGTGTGTTGACTGCTGTTATTAAGCATATGTTTCCTGATGTTGCTAAGATTAGGAAGCTTGTGAGGCAGTCTAAGTGTTTGCAGGATAAGATGACTGCTAAAGAGAGTGCTACTTGGCTCGCTATTGTTAATCAAGAAGAGGCTCTGGCGAGAGAGCTTTATCCTCAGTCATGTCTTCCTCTTTCAGGCGGTGGAAGTTACTCTCTTCTGATGAATGATTGTAGTCAATATAACGTTGAAGGGTTTGAGAAGGAGATGCGTTATGAAGTGGAAGAGGTTAAGCCGGAGAAAGTGATGAATAATACTTCAAATTTTATTGTGAAGGAAGAGGTCTCATCTGATTTCATGAGGAAGAGGAAGCCGAGCAGTGATTTGAACACTATAATGGATAGAACTGTCTTCACCTGTGAGAATCCTGGTTGTGTCCATAGCGACATCAGCAGGGGGTTTCTGGATAGGAACTCAAGAGACAACCATCAGTTAGGTTGTTTACACCGAGACAGTTGCTTACCTTGTGGAGGAGGACCGTCCAGGTTCCATGTCAATGAAGCTAAGCCTGTCGTTGGATTTTCTAACTCTGTGGACCAACCAATCGACTTAACGGGTATTGGAGTTCCTGAAGATGGGCAGAAGATGATCTCTGAGCTCATGTCCATGTATGATAGAAACGTCCAGAGCAACCAAACTTCTATGGTCATGGAGAATCAAAGTGTCTCACTGCTTCAACCAACGGTCCAGAATCATCAAGAACATCTCCAGTTCCAAGGAAGTTTCTTTGAAGACTTCAACATCCCAAACAGAGCTGACATCAACAGCAACAACCAAACGTTTTTCCAAGGGAACAACAACAACATCAATGGGTTCAACTACGACACTACACACAACAACAACAACAACTTTGAAGCTGCGAATAGCAACAGTAGCAGCAACAGGTTTCAGGGTGGGTATGATTCTGCACCGTTCGATATAGCCTCAATCGTTTATAGAGATGATATGTCAGTGGCAGGAGTAGTTGGAATGATGGATGGTATGCAACAAAAGCAACAAGATCTTTCTGTATGGTTCTAAAGTCTTGGTAGTAGATGGAACCTTCTCTTTATTTTTACCATGTAGTATTTTTTCTGGGGACGTCTCTGTCTAAAACTCTCTGTTACTGTGTGTCTTGGTCTTGGCTGGTGAATCTCTTTCATCTTCAGGTTTTTTTTTTTAGTTTTACACACCCCATACTTGGGGACAAACACAATGTAAGTGCTCATATTATATATATAACTCGGAGTTACTCTTTGTTATGTATTTATCAGTCTTTTGTAATCCGAGGATTTGAATAATGCTTATGTGCTATACTTAACCGCTTCGAATCTGGAATTGTGGACAAATATTTAATACAAAAAGATTAAAGTACGCATTAAACTTGAAAGCATACGTGTTGCAAGTGGCTCGTTGGTAGTAAGGCATGCATCAGTGGTTCAATTGACCAGCGATCAAACTCACATACCAAAGAAGCGAAAATAAATTATTCTAGGTATGTTTAAATACCTTTTTGAAGACAAATAAACGTATTAGTTAAAGGTTATTAAACCCGTATTTGGTATCTCCAACCCAACTTCATTGTTTATTTCAAAATAGAATAAAAGTGTTTATGAGATAAAAAAATGCTCTAATCCCACTCTATTTCTTATTCGATAATGAGATTTACTTCATAATGGAGTAATGTATTTTTCTTTGTTTGCTGTATAAATTGTTTCCTTGTTATTTTGCCACGTTTATTCTACCAAAAATATGAGTTTTCAATAAATCCTTCCATTTCTTTCAAGTACACAAAAATTTAATCACAAGGAAAACAACAAATATAATTAAACAAATGTTAACATACATTTTTCAAAAGTTAAAAAATAAATAAAGGTACAAAACTATAATTTTCATCTAAAAATAGTTATGTGCTTTTTTTTTTTGTAACACAAAATAGTTATGTGTTTTAAAAGCACAAATCAAAATCTATTATATTGAAGCTGATTCCACTAATTGTATAATCTGATTGCTGATTTATTTACTGATAAACATTTTGGCACAACAATGTTCAATATAAATAATTAACTGATTATATTTCAATTTCCCCCGATTTAATAATTATGTTAAATAATTGTGTGTTTTAGCTAATAAAAGAAAGAATGCAATAGCCACATTTACATGGACATGGAAAACACACAAATTTTAAAGAGTACGTTCAGTCAAATTTTATTGGTCTAAAATTAGCTGTAAAAGCCGAAAAAACCTATGAAATACGGAGAAAACTTGATTATTCGAACCATTCATTACAATGTACTTCTTCCATCTTAACTGCTTGGAACTAGTTCATATCCCTACGCAGAAACATCCCTAAATTTCTCTAAAAATGGAAATTAAAGAAACCGAAAGAAACATCATAATCAACGTTGCGGCTGGTGGTGTGTGCACAATTAACATTAACCCTGTTAGCCGACCCATACCACCACCACCGGCACTTGATGAAGCCTATGTTCCTCCTCCGGCTAACCCTAAGGTTTATTTTTACATGACGGTGGACGGCAAACCGGCTGGTATGATCGTGATGGAGCTCTTTGCTGACACAACCCCGCGGACCGCTGAGAACTTTCGCGCCCTCTGTACGGGCGAGAAAGGCATGGGGAAGCTTGGTAAGCCACTCCATTACAAAGGATCAATCATCCACGGCGTTGATCCAGGTTATATGATTTCTGGAGGAGATATCATCGACGGAGGGAAAGGAAACGGAGGCGAATGTATCTACGACAGTAGGTTTTTCGAGGTTGAGAACTTCATCAGGAAGCACGACGGTCCAGGTGTCCTCTCCATGTGGAACCGTGGTCGAAACAGCACCGGATCTCAGTTCATGATCCACGTGAGGGCGAACCCGGATCTGGACGACGAGTGTGTTGTGTTCGGCCAAGTTGTTCAAGGTATGGATGTGGTCACTAGCATTATGGATATGAGCACGAGTACTTCAGTGCCCGTTGCGGTGATCTCCAACTGCGGTCAGATTTCATAGATATTTGAGAGGTTTTCATCTTACAATAGGTTTTCATCTTACAATGTTTTGATGTGTTTATGTTCGGATTTGAGTTTAGATGGGCTACAATTGAATAGCGATAAAGCATGAATAATGATAATGTTTGGGTATGTAATAAAATGTGTTTAAGCCTCCTCTCTTGGAAAAACAACGCTTAGGTAATCATCAAAACAAGGCGAGAAAGGCCAATGATCTGTTTTTTTTTATATACTAGATCATGACCTGCACAGCCGTGTGGATCTTTTTTTTTCTTAAATAATTATACTAGGAAATAATCCACGTTTTGCGCGTAATGTGATTATTAGTTTGATTATTATTAGTAAAAAAATATTAAATATGTTTAATTTGGATATATGTTTGGTTTTAGGTTGGATTTTTTCTTTTTAATCTCGTAAATATAATTATAATTTTAAATCAATATTTATTTATTTTTTCGGTTAAACTTTTGATGTTTTTGGTTTTTTTTTTGTGATAACCGGAAATTACTATTATTGGTTTGTTTTCATGTTATGAATATTAGATAGTCGTGATGTCGAACTAATGGTTTCATATTATATTTTCTAAATGGATAATAGTTAAAGAAACAAATTATTAAGATAAATCATTTCACTACAATTTGGTAGGTCGTAAAAGAAGCATTAAGAAATATAATATTTCAACTTCAAAAAATTATACTTCAGTTGTGATAAATACTTAGTTATAAGGTGTTCACATCAAGGTGCACATGTATATGTATGTATAAATATATAAAAGTGGTTGATAAATATATAAAAATACTGTTAATTAATATGAAATAGCATTTTTGTTCAAAATAACACATGAAAGATAAAATTTTAAAATAAAATTAATTAAAAATAAAATAGACCTAGACATTAGTGAATTTTTTCATATAAAAAAATAAAATTGTATTCGTAAATATAGATGTGCAAGGATCAAATATCTGACTATTTGGAGGCATTCATGTCAATTCGATCTTTAGCCACCTGGATATTCAGTGATTCGGAAATCCAATTTTTTTAGAACTTTAAAGAATATCCGAGTTGATCCGCAAATAAAAGAAAAAAATAAAAAATAAAATAATAATATTTTATTACAAGAATAAAGGTTAATTAATTTTTTAATTCTAATACCTAATATAATAAATTTAATACATATAAATATTGTAAAAATTATATAAAATATAATATATATAACATATATATATATAATTCTTTACATATATGTATATATATGCATATAACGGAACGAATTGGATATCAGTTCTAAAAAAAATTGGTATTTGTGATTTGCTTCCTTTTTGGATATTGTGTTTTAGTATTTGATTTTTTTCGTAGAATTACGGATATACATTTTGTTGGTTCAAATCAAAATGGATAACGAATTGAATCTAAATTTATGAATATTTTTCCAAGTTTTATCCATACACAATAAAAGAATATATATATATATATATATATATATATATATATATATATGTATATATATATATAAAAATAATTTAGTTTTTGATTCGTAATCTGTTTGGATTCGAACCGAAAAAACCAAAGTTTTAATGGACCATGCATGTGAATTTTAAATTGAAAAAAAAAAATATGTACTGTGAACACATTTATGAATATAGTGTGAACGTGTTATCATATTTATTATCAAATCTTTGTAAGGCTGCCACGTGTCCATTATAATGTGAATGCATATTTTAAAATGTTTTTCCTTTAATATATAAGGGATATGTATTTGCGCTGTTTAGTTTTATATAATTTTATGTTTATCTATGCTTATTTATGTGACTAAACAACATGATTAAAATTATATTTTGTATTAATAGTTTTCATAGGTGTATTATAGATAGAGAAATTGCACTGCACACATTAGGAGAATCTCATATTTAGGCAGATACACATATAGGCAGATTCTTGGTATTGTCACCATGTACTTAGACTATTCTACCCCTATTTCACTCGTTAGACCTTCTGATAATCCTCTCCCCACATATTTCTGCCTCCACTCTAAACCAATGGTTATCGCATAAAAAAGTGTTTTTGTCAGACAAGTTGTATTATTCTATTAATTTTGGTATTCACTCTTACACGAACTTTCATCTTCTTCCTCTATTTAAACTCGACTGTTACCGTCGACACTGAAACCCATCAGACTCAATCCATTTTATAAATCTCTCTTTAAGTTTCCCTTTACCATACACTCTGTTAACCTCGTCTTAAAAATGTCTTCTTTGGATTTCCCCAATAGAATGTTTGCGATTGGGGAAGAACCTGTTGGTATTAGGGTTACCCCATATCACAAACCTAAAATCATCTCCAAAATCTTCAACGCTTTAGATGAAGAAGAAATTGCTCTCATCAAACAATCTCCCTTTGGCAAGCTTCTTTCAATTGAAGAAAAACCCTACTTCTCTGGCAGATTGGGTCGTTTCATTATGTCCAGGCAATTAAAGACTCGGAAGAAGTACGAAATCTGGTTTCTCTTCGCTGGTAAACCTGTCAGGTTCTCATTGAGAGAATTCTCGTTGGTGACCGGTTTGAATTGCAACAGATTCCCACCACACACGAAGAAGAGGAGTAACAAGAGTATTTCTGCGAAACCATATTGGAGTGATCTTTTCGGTAATATGAAGGAAGTTCCTTGTAGCTATGTCATTTCAATGCTCAAAAAGAAGTCTGTCACTGACCCAGATTTGAGGATAAAGTATGCTTATCTACTTTTACTATCAGCCGTCCTTCTTCCCACATCTCACAATCCTCGAATTCTCCATGGACCTGCCGAGAAGATTAAAGATCTAGATAATTTCCTCTCATATCCTTGGGGTCGTGTTGCTTTTCAATTGTTAATTGGTAGCATTAAAGAGAGGAATGAAGTCTCCCTTTCTCAAAACACAATCGCTTTTAAAGGCTTTGTGATGGCTATACAACTCGTGCTGATTGAAGCCGTTCCGTCACTTACCGGGGTTGTACGCGATGGGGGATCATCGGGTTCCGAACGAGAATCCGCAGACGAGGACGACGATTTCCTCTCGGACGGGGAAGAAAAGAAAAACATAAACACTTTCCGTATTCGTGACATTGATTCTGCTTGCAAGGTAACCCTCTGTTTCCAAATGTTTTATTTTGTTTTAATTTTTCCATAAATCGTTTTCATGTTTAGCTTGTACTAATTTCATTTTTTTCAGGCTGTAGTAAACTCCATAATCCCTCCTTCCTCTTACCCTATTGTCGCAGACAATGAATGTGTTTGGTCTGACGATGAAGACGATGGTCTTGTTGATAATCTCGTAAAGTCTATAGATGAAGGTTTCCGTTTCTCGAATTCCCATTTCACCGGTGGAGTCACTCACGCTGATATTACCCGTATGCGCGATGAAGCGAAGAAGCTTAACGTTTCTCGTAAAACAGCTAAACCCAGCCCCAATTCACCTGCTTCTCAACAAGTCGACGCCGAACAAGTTTCTATCCTAGTTAAGAATATTGTTTCCTCAGAGATGCTCAGTGTTACTCAAGGAATGAAGGAACTCACCAATCTTGTTAACAACTCTCAGATATCATTTCGCAATAGTGTCCAAGATGTCTTTGATGTTTTCCGTAGGGACATTGTTAATCTGCTCTCCACTCCATGCAATCGACCTCATGCCCCACCTACGAGTGAACCCGAAACAGTAAATACTGCTAAAGCTACCAAGCAGACTCGTGACAACCATCCTGTAGATCAAGATGACATAATCCAGGACGCTGTGCAGTTTGCTAATAACATTAGGAGCGACTCTGGAAATGTAAGTTTGTCATAATCAAGTACTCCTTTCTCTAGCATACTTCAAAACCATATTAATCATTGTTTCCTTTTGTTGTTAGGAGATGTTCGATGATGTTGATGTTGCAGGGGACGGTCCCAATGTCGAGGAAAACCCAAACCAGCATGTTGAATCTACGGTATAACAACCTACCTTTACCAGTACATTTGTTCTGTGTGGATTGCTAAACTTTTCTATTATCATGTTTTATGCCTAGTTAAATTCCATGTTGTATTTGCTAATTTTCGTCCGTAAACTGGCTCTAGTTCCCTTCATCTGACAATGATATTCATCAGTAGATAATTATTCCTCTTTAAAATTCCAATTGTTAGTTTCCTTCAAAACCAAATTAATCATTGCTTCCTTTTTGTTGTTAGTAGATGTTCGATGATGTTGATGTTGCAGGGGACTGTCCTAATGACGAGGAAAACCCCAACCAGCATGTGGAATCTACGGTATAACAACATTATTTTACCATTACATAAGTTATTCGTTGAATGCTAAACTTTTCTTTTGCCATGCGTTATTCTTAGTTAATTTCCATGCTGTACTTGCTAATATTCTCCAGTACACTGGCTCTAGGTCCCTTTATCTGACAATGATATTCACCAGTAGATAATTATTCCTCTCTAAAATTACAATTTTTAGGGTCCTTTACCTAACACTGAAGAATTCGTTGATGGTCATACCAATTCAGATGTCGGTGCTACTGACACGAATGTTGAAGATATGGTCTGATTTCTATTGTCGTGACGTTTAATTTTTTATTTTTTTTCATTTAAAAATTTATCTGTAACGGTCATTTGCTTTCCCTTTTTATTTGTTCTATTAATCTTCAGCCTTCAAGCATTCCATCATTCAATCACCCTCCAGGCAATCCTGTTGACGCTAACATCAACGCTGATTTTACTGAGAAACAGGTTCGTATATATCGTGTCTTTCCTGTTTAATTAGTTTTACACCCCCCTTTTATACACTCGTCTTCTTTTTTTCATTTAATTTCCTTGTTTGCAAGGATAATGATACCACCGGTCTCGAGTTCCCGGATCCCACCTTTTCTATTGGTTTAACTCAACTTAGTAATTCAGACGCCAATGCTGATGATTCTATCAAAGATCACGCATCCTCCCCCGGCAAGGTTGATGATTTTCCAGTTGCTAATAGGAGGAGCAAACGTGCC